ATCGTGCCGTTAGTGCCGACAATGAATGCTTCATTGGGTAGGAGAAGCAAACTGTTGGCGAATATACTGGCCGTCCGATTGCCGCCATACTTGAGGTTAGCGGCGAAGTTCAGGTCCACTCCGTTCTCATTCAACTGTCCGATGGCCGAGATCTTTGTGGGCATCTCTCCATCGTAGGCCTGATCGGCGATACCGATCGCATAGATACCCAAATCGAGTACAGTTCCGCCGCCAAGTTCTCTGGTGGCCACCCTGTCCTCCAGTATCATCTTATAGCCGAGTCCGGCGTTCACGTGGTAGACGTGTCCGATGACACCCCTCCGGATCTGGTCCATCACGAAGACAAACGACGGCGTGAATCGTGACACCAGCGCCTCCATGAAGAACAGGCGCTTGGATTTGGCCAAAGCTATCATCTCTTCGACTTCTGTACCATTAAAATGATAAATAGTTTTAAGAAAAAGTTTTTTCATGAAATGATCGCACGCTTAGAGTTCATGGCGAGTGGCTTCTCGACGAGTAGGTGTTTCCCATTCTCGAGCAGTAGCTTAACGTTATCCAAGTGGACGTTGTTAACGGTGCCCACGTATACCACCTGAACATCAGGGTCTTTGGCCAACTCGTCGTAAGAGCCGTAAGCTTTGGTAATGTTGTGCCGTTTGGCGAAGTCCTGGGCGCCGGACAGTCGACGCGAACCCACGGCTACGAACTGACACATGAATAAAGTTTTTCTAATTAACTGTGTATTAAATTAATCATTAATTATGTTATGGACTACGCGTCCCAATCAAAACTGTTACCGGTGTTTCAGTAACGACTAAAAAGGCCGAGGGTTATATGGGGTGGAATCCCCACACGACTCATTGCTATTTAATAAATAAGTAGTAATTATGAACATAAATAACAATTTATTAATTTTGTGTGCGAATAGATTCCCCATAAATCATACAAAAGCTCTATATTGTCGAAAGTATGATATTGCTATAAAGTGGATTGAAAATGTATACCTTTGCCATATACCACATATGAACCAGAGTCAGATTCGAGTCACACTGCTTTTCTATGGTTGAGCATTTGCATTTGATTATAATAACATGGTAAAATAATATTTCAAAAGCATTTTGTATGAATCAATTAATTTCTAGATTTATTGTCATTAGTATGGGAAATCTTGCATGCATACATAACAGGGAAATATACATAACTGGGAAGTTCATAGTAGAGAATGTATTTAACATTATGGGTATAGGCAATCCGTCAAAAAAATCAGGTACTAGGTAAAAATCAGTATTCATACCATAGAGCCATACATAAGTCAGACGTTGAAAACTCTGGAATTTCACTGAACTCGCTCAATTATAACACCATGAACAGTATTTTAAATTGCAGTTTTAATATTTATATTTATTTGAAAGAATAGCCATTTATTGCACTCAATATATATTATATTTTAGTGATAAGTGTTGGCCGTCTATGTGTGTGGCAGAGGTATACATTATCGATCCACTATATAGCTATATAATTATAAGGGTTGTATTGCAATTCCGACAATATAGCCACTTACATACGGGTATTCATTTAATTTACATAGATCAATGTCATGAGATCATATGAGGACCTGAAATTATGAAAACTTAACAGATTCGTACGTTAACGTTAATTGTCCCAGTCGTGCGAAAGATTACGCGGTTATAACTCTAGAGATAAAAAAATATATGTTTTATATAAAATATTTGTTGAAAATTGAATTTAATTAATGTTTTGGTATATTGAATGTAATTAGGAAAACTGTAGTTTTGATATCCATTATGTCTCAAAAGATTTACTGCATTTTAATAATTCAGACACATATTTTACAGTTAGTATAGTATAATCTATAATGTAAAATTATCATCGATATGACATGATTATAAACATTTATGTTAAATAGGTCTAAAATTAACAATAAAGTCAAAACAGCTAAATTAGTTTATTTTTTTCAATTACAGTATTTTATTTTAGTCTCAAATAATGACAATTATTTTAATTTATGGAAATTTTTGTTTATTATTTTAATAATTATTGATTAAAATTATTTGAATACAGATGTGAACCATATATGATATGTAGTGTAAAAGTGAACATCCGTTTTATTATATAACTTACTCTAATTGTTTTCATTTAAAAAACCATTTGTTTATCAAACAAAACAAATATAGAAAATAAGCTAAAATTATATTTTTAATAAATTCACAATATGTATATCCTATGGGGTAGTATTAAAAAGTACTGTGTTTTGAATATTGTATTAATTATACCATGATAAGAAATTTTATGAAAAAAATCAAATTCATTACCTGACCATTCGTGCATTTTTATTGCTGGATACAATCTTTGGCTTATAATTCCGGGCGCGCCTACTTTTAGGATCCCTTTCCCTAGTAAATATGTATTCAATTTATTAATTTATTAATTTGTATTCAAATCACTAATATAATTATACTAGTTCATTAAAATAATATTCATATAAAAACATTTTACAAAAATAGTTTTAATCAAAAACTTTTTCACATACTTTTGCACCGAAATAATGGTCGCAAACAAGCAAAACAATAAAATGATTTCCAAACGCATCTTAAATTACTGTCTAAAACACAATTAAATATAAAGTTTAATAAATGTTATGTAAAAATAACTCTTTATGAAAAATATTTAAACAAATTTCACGAATGACTGAATGAGTGGTGAAAGTGATTGCAATTTATAGCGACTTTTAGCGACCTTCGGATGGGAACAGGACTGCAATGGGATGTCTATATGGGACTCAAAATAAATGAAATACACTTTTTTCCTATGAATGAAAAGTCTGAAGTCTTTGTGCACTAAAATAGCTGTCAGAAAGTGCTTCTGCACTATGGTTTCAAGTAAGGGATGGGATGTCTCATCAAACAACATCTCACTTGACTCGCAAGCCTTGAATCCGAAGAATCAGTCATTGATTTGAATATATTTTTCTCGATGAATATGTGATAAGCAATAAAATGCTTGACATCAGGGTTGGTGTCTGTTATAGGAGGGGGTTATCTCAGGAAAAGGTTATTCATAACAATAAGATAATCGCAAAACCCTGAATCGGTATTAGCGCTGAAACATGATATGCATAATAGGTATCGTAATATGGGTTATGTTATAAAACAATTAAAATTTATGTTACCTCTCGGCGTAAGGCAAATAATCCTTAAAATTGAAGTCCGAGATGCCAGCCCCCAGTCACTATTTAATACACACTGAATCTGTACTGGAAATACACTTTGGAGTCCTTCGTGTGAATTAATGTTTCAGTAATTGTTAGCAAACTATCGCTTAATAACCACTCAATACATACACCACTGTCTGTCAACAGCTACTGAAACACTGAATGAATGGCAAAAACTGCATACATATAATCATAATTTGTATAATGATTAAAAATTTAATGTTAACTGCGAGTAACTGGGAAAAAACAATCACAATTAATAATAACTTTTCATACAAATACTAGTGAAAAAAGTATTATATCGTGATTGAAATCATTTGTTTGAATAGTTCACAGAATCGTAAAACAAATGCAAATTAAATGCTTTTTTGTTGAATTATTTTGAAAAGAAAAATATTTCTATATAAATATTATTGCCTTTTTAAATAATAATAACATTTTTTTCCACTGCAATGGCCTCCACTATACTGGCGATACGCTTATATAAAAGGCCAATTAGCCCACAGACCCGGGGCATCAAAATATTTGCGATAAAACTTGTTGTCATAATACACTCACCCGGAAATTGGTTTTAAATTGTTTTTTATGTTTTTTCAATTTTGTAATTTTTCATTTACATGACAATACGTAAACATTTTTTTGTTTTGTTCATTGGATTACTAGTGTTTGATTGAAAGTTTGAGATATTGTATTAAATTAGTTTCAATTGATTTAAATTATATCATATACTGTAATAATAATGAGTTTAGTAGACTTTTAGAAAAAGTTGTCTAGTTTGCAGACTTACATTTTGATTCATAGCAGTTGTTAAATATCATTATTAATCCCATATTAAAATATTTAACATGGAAAAATATAGTTAATAATTTGATAGCTTTTGGCTTACTTTCAATAAAAATTTTTGTTTTTAATTTACATTTCATTTGAATATAAAAATTAAAAGCAAGTGAAATGAATTGAATTTGCTTTTTATATATATTATTTTATTTCACACAATCATTATGTGAATTCTTAAATGAAAATACATTTTATTTTTATTTTGTTAATCATTTGATTCCTCATTGAGATAATGGATTAATTCAAATCATTAAAAACAATAAAACTTTTTAAATGAATTCATGATTTGCATTGAGAAACCGTTTCCCCTCTTATATGTAATCATAATTAATAGAAAAATAAAATTGTTTTAAAAATATTTTAATCACAAATACTTGCATTGCTTTTAATTTGAGAAAAATTTATATTTATAGCACTTTATAAAAGGCTTTTAGTTTTATATTCACATTATTTAATACTGTCTTAAATCAAGTCAAATGATTGATCCACTTATAGGCTAATGAATAAATTCAATGCAAAACTTTTATGAAACATGTAACAAGGACACATTGAGCGATAAATAATAGGAAATAAGTTTTATAAAAATCAATTACAATAGTCTCTAATCGACAGTTCAATAGCTATATAACAAAATACTCCTATTTCTCCACAAAATATAATGAATACGAGATTGAAATGTGTTTTAATTATAGTTTACATAACATTTTCCGTATTCAATGGCATTCACTGCGATATACAAAACAACTCCAGTTCCCTATCAAATGAGATAAACAAAGTGCCGGAGCTCTTCACGCCCCTCCAGATCAGGAACGTTACCCTCAGGAACCGGATATGTGTGACCCCTATGTCCATGTATAGCAGTGTGGACGGTATGGCCAGTGACTTCCACTTCGGACACCTCCAGTCGTTTGCATTGGGAGGGGCAGCCCTTGTCATGACTGAGGCCACGGCTGTCGCACCGGACGGTAGGATTAGCCCCAAAGACAGTGGTCTCTGGAAAGACCAACACATCCCTCCATTTGCGCGGATTGTCCAACAAATCAAGACTTTTGGTGCCGTTCCGGGCGTACAGTTAGGACACGCCGGCAGGAAAGGTAGTTGGGGGCGAGTCGTTGAGCGATAGTAAGGGCGGTTGGCCTACAATAGGACCCAGTCCTCTGGCCTATGGAAATCATATCTGGAAAGTACCCAAAGAGGCCACTCTTGAAGACTTGCAAACCGTTAGGAAAGCCTTTGTGTCGGCCGCTGGACGAGCTGTTAGAGCCGGCTTTGAGGTCAGTCCTTAAATACCTGTCCACTCATTTCAGTAACTTATTTATTATAACAGATACTTGAGCTACACTTTGGAAATGGATATCTAGTCCACCAATTCCTATCCCCCATCACTAACAAGCGGACAGACAGTTATGGGGGAAGTCTGGAGAACCGGATGCGTTTGGCGCTGGAAATAGCCGGTGCGGTCAGACAGGTATTACCCGAGACCGTGGTATTGGGTGTGAGGGTATCGGTGAGTGATTTGGTGTCCAACGGCTGGGATATCCCGCAGACCATAGAGTTGGCCAAAGAGCTGAAGAAACTGGGGGTCGACTTCTTGTCGTGTAGTTCCGGACAGTTGGTGCCCAGGACTCAGACCAATGGTATGAATAAATACGTGTTTCAAGTGCCGTCGGCCGGCCTTATCAACCGACTGTCCGGTATTATGACGGCAGCCGTCGGACAGATAATTGATCCGAAATACGCCGAAAAGATAGTGAAGGATAAGACGGCTTCGCTGGTAATGATAGGCCGGGCGATGCTAAACAACCCCCACTGGCCCTACCACGCGGCTGACGTGTTGGGAGCACCTAATAGTGTACAATACCCGGATCAGTACGGCTATGTGGTCGGAGATAAGGAGTGGAGAGATTTGTTGCTGGATAATTCTCGCAAATAATTTAATAATTGTTGTGTTTTATTGGTTAATATGTTTGTGAATTTATTACCATGTTCAATTTGATAAAAACTAACAATAAAGTGATTTATTTTATACGGTGTTGAGTTTTATACGTTAATGAGCTTGTATAATCATTATTTCTAATCAGTTTTTATTAATTAATGTTTTCCAGAGACACACCAATAGGTATTCCTCGGAATCGACTGTCAATTGTATTTGATTTGTCTTCCTCTTAGGCAAAAGGATGTTATCCTTTGGTTTCATACAAATACCGGTGTATACCATGTGACAAACGGGACATTCATTTGTCTGTTTGGATGACCGGAAAATGCATTGCAAACAGAAGTGATGATCGCATCCATCGGTGACGGCTTTGTTGAGCATCACATCCCGACATATGCCACACCTACTCATTGGGGACCAATCTTTGTGGCCATCAATCATGTATTCAAAGCGACTCTCAATTTGCATTAGAAAGCGTGCTGACCCTGTTAATTGCAATTGCATGCTTAGACAATTCAAAAGTATTAAAGTCCAGGAGTATACTAGAGTACTGTAACTAGATACATTTAATTTACTTATGGGCATACATTCCGGCTATATTGTCGGAATTGCAATACAACCCCATAATTATATAGCTATATAGTGGATCGATAATGTATACCTCTGCCACACACATAGACGGCGAACACTTATCACTAAAATATAATATATATTGAGTGCAATAAATGGCTATTCTTTTAAATAAATATAAATATTAAAACTGTAATTTATAATACTGTTCATTGTGCTATAATTGAGCGAGTTCAGTGAAATTCCAGAGTTTTCAACGTCTGACTTATGTATGGCTCTATGGTATGAATACTGATTTTTACCTAGTACCTGATTTTTTGACGGATTGCCAATACCTATAATGTTAAATACATTCTCTACTATGAACTTCCCAGTTATGTATATTTCCCTGTTATGTATGCACGCAAGATTTCCCATACTAATGACAATAAATCTAGAAATTAATTGATTCATACAAAATGCTTTTGAAATATTATTATAAGCAAATGCTATGGGTCTCGACCATAGAAAAGCAGTGTGACTCGAATCTGACTGGTTCATATGTGGTATATGGCAAAGGTATACATTTTCAATCCACTTTATAGCAATATAATACTTTCAACAATATGGAATTTGTATGGAATTATGGGGAATCTATTCGCACAAAAAAACTAATCAATTGTTATTTATGTTCATAATTACTATTTGTTATTAAATAGCAATGAAAGCACACCCCTAAGGTGGGGTATATTGGGAGCCGGAAAAATCAGCAATGACTTTGTGGCCATTGTCAAAACTAACCCTGCGCATCAGGTATTGTATTAATTACTAATTAAATTATGTGTCAATTAAT